TTGAACCCCGGGATTGAACAGGCCTCTTGAGACTACTTCAGGCAGAGTGTGGGTCCAGCCTGTCCCAGGAAGCATAAGAGCTTCAAGGAGAAACAGTGGGATCCAGTCCTCCCCCTGCTCAGGACTTAGGCCAGGCTAGAATCCCAGGGCTCTGTGCTTGTTAGAGGTCACTCCTCAGCCTTGGCCAGGGTGCGGGTGGGAGGGTTAGACAAGTGACATTTCAAGGGGCATTTGGAATCAGAATGAATCTCAGTGTTGCCACCTCTGAGGCTGGCCGAAGGCAGGCCCAGCGCCTGGATGGGGCAGGAGCAAAGAATTATCCAGACAGGAGCTCAGAGCGTCCTGGAGGAGCATCCTGGAGAAACTGACGTGACAGGTATCTGTGGAGACCCACGGAGGAGACTGCTCGGGCTGGGGACGGTGCTGGAAGGCCGAGGCCAGGCGTGCAGAAGACTGTTGGGAGGGGCGCGCGGGATGAGACCGGGGTGTACTTGGAGGGAAATGGAGTCAGACAGGGGCAGGGGAGTGATGGAGAGTGGTGAAGAGCTGGGGACGGGTCCGGAGCTGGGGAGGGAGGGTTGGGGTCAGCGCTGGGGAGTACACAACCAAACAACCCCCCAGAACTTGGGAATGCAAGTCCCAAAGGAGTCTGCGGAGGTAAGAGGCGAAGATCCTGATGGAGGAGATGAAGGGCGCACCAGGTGTGGGGATGGACAGTCAGGAGCACCCTCGTGGGCAAGTGCTGTCCTCCACGGAGTCTGGGCGGGCGGCCGCTGCCCGCTGGAGGCACTGGAACGGGGGCAGGAGGGGCTGGGCTCGATCCTGCCCTAGAGACTGACGATCCTCCCTCCATCCCTGCCCCCTCCTCATCAGAACCAGTAGCGTTAGCTGCAGGGCACTGACACAGGAAGGACTTCTCCAGCCCCCACGCCAGATATGAGGCAGAAATAGCAGCAACAGAGATTTATTGGTGCCTCACAGACTGGGGAGTGGATAGCCGGGGCCGGGTCTCCGCGAGACGCCAGGATGTGCGGTCAGAGCGCTGATCCTTCGGAGGAGCGGCACTCAGGCCGTCAGATTTTGCCCGCGAAGGTCCCGTCCTGGATCTGTTGGGTCCAGCGCTGCACCTGGGAGGGGAGGCAGAGGGCGCCGATTCAGCTACACGGGACCCTCCACCCTCGCCCCGGCCGGCCGGCCGCCGGCGCCCCCTCGGCCTGCTCACCCAGCTCATGGGGCACAGCGAATGGAACACGCGGAAGTAATACTGGCAGGGCTGCGTGCTCTTCCCGCGGCGGTTCATTCTCTTGACGCAGCGGTGGTAGTCTGCAGGGTGGGGCGGGGAGGGCCGGCGGGGTGGCTCTGCGGCCCCGCCCCTCCCGGCCTAGCACCGCCCCTTGCTCCCGCCCCCAATGATGGTCCCACCCCCTCCGTCCCCTCGCCCTCCACGACTCAATCCCGCCCCTCCCCTCCAGGCCCCCTCCCTCCACGGCCAGACCCCGGTCTACTATGGTCGGCTCACGCGCTCCAGACCAAGCCCCGCCCACTCCCGGCCAGGCCCTGCCTCTCCCTCCCTCGCCCCGCCCCTCCAGGACTCGGTCCGGGCCCTCCAGACCAGGCCCCGCCCACTCCCGGCCAGGCCCTGCCTCTCCATCCCTCGCCCCGCCCCTCCAGAACTAGGTCCCGGCCCCCCAGACCAGGCCCCGCCCACTCCCGGCAGGCCCCACCCCACCATGGTCGGCTCACCCACTCCAGACCAGGCCCCGCCCCTCCAGGACTGGGTCACGGCCCTCCAGGCCAGGCCCCGCCTCTCCCTCCCTCCAGGACTCGGTCCCGCCCCCTCCACACTAGGCCCCGCCCCTGCCGGGTAGGCCCCGCCCCTGCGGACCGTGGTTCTCCCCCCACCCCTTTCCACCCCAACGGTCTCCGCCGCCAAGGCGGGTCCCAGACCTTCCCATTTTCAGGTGGGGTGCTCCCCTTCCTGCGTCCCCTGTCTCACCCCCTGCCCCTAAACTGGCCCGCAAGGTCTCACCCAGGAAGTTCTGGTAGCAGTTTTGGGTCTGGTTCTGGTTGGGGAAGCGCGGGTCAAAGGGCGGTGTTGACCATTTCCCCTTGGGGGGCTTCTGGGAATCAACATCCAACATCCACGGAGGCGGCAGTTCCTGCGGGGGAAGGGGGGCTCCGTGGGGCTTGGGGGCGCCCCTCGTTCCGACCCGCACCCAGCGGCTGGCCCCCACCCGAAGCCCAGCCCCTGATCCCACCCGCCCTGCCCTCACCAGAGTGATGTCAACGTGTCACTGGGTCAGCTGTCCTTGTGGCTCCGTCCAGGGGTGCCCCTCGCTTCTGAGTCTCGGGGGTCCAGCCCAGGAGAAACACGACCCCTGGCAGGATTGGCTGGGACCCCTGGACCCCAGCCAATGGGAGCAGCGGCGCTGCAAGGGATGTTCCAAGACGCCGGGCGGGGTCTGCGTGGACCCCACCCCCGCCGCCTCCTGCCCCCAGCCCCACGAAGCTCTTGGGGGTCCCCCGCGCACACACAGGCACCCAGGCACGACTTTTGCCGAGTCTCAGACTCAGGCTTTTAATCTCTGCGAAGCTGGGCCACCCCGCGGGCTCTCCCCTGTCCCGCTCCCCGCCCCCCAATATATAAACGTAGAGATAGCTCTGGTCTCTACCGGAGAGGGAGCATCCCCCCGCCCGGCCTTTTCAGCACCCTGCTTCTTACGGTAGAGGTGCACAGCACCATGGGGGTCCGTGGGGAAGAGGAAAGAGCCAGGGTGGGGTCTGAGCTCCTGGACTCCGGTGCCAGGACTGAGGCGGGTCTGTGGGGTCTCGGGCTACCTGGCCAGGCTGGGCTCCTTTGGACACTTTGGCAACTGAGATTGAGTCCCCCGAATCCCGCTATTGAGGGCTCTCGGAACTGAGCATGCTGGAGAGAGAGAAAAAGCCAAAGGGGGCTTTGGGGGCCACAGGGAGAGCACCCTGAGTGCTCAGTAAACTCGTGCTAAATGAAGTGTGAGCTGGAACAGGGTTCCCCCCAACCCCCGCGTCTTCCTGTCCCCGATGTACCTCCCAGTTCTTCTCCCTCCTGCCTAGTTGCTCTCGAGCCCAGCTGTGCATCCTTCACACCACATCCAAGAGCACTAACGTTGCTCCCCTCTCAAGAATCGCTCTGTGCCCACTTCCTACACCAGCTACCTCTCCAGGTCCCTCCTCCCCTTCCAGCAAGCTACTTGCAAAAAGCTGGTCTGCTCCTCATCTCCGAAGCCCCTCTTTGTGAATGTACGGAGGTAGGTAAGTAGGTATATAGTGGGAAAATACACATCATGTAAAATTTACCATCACAATCATTTTAAACCGTCCAGTTCCATGCCATTAATTACATTCACAACATTGTGGGACCACAACCACTTAGTTCCAGAACGTTTCATCACCCCACAAAGAGACCCTGTTCCCAGTATGCGATCCCTCCCCATTCCTCCCATCACTCCCAGCTCCTGGCAACCACCATTCTGCTTGGATTTGCCTGCCCCGCAAGCTTCATACAAAGGGCATCACCCACGAGGAGGCCTTTTGCTTCTGGCTCCTTTCCCCCAGCATCATGTTTTCAAGCGTCACAGCAGGTGACTCCCTGCTTTCTGTGCTTCCTTAGGCCTTCCCCATTCAGGTCTTTGTTACCACCATGTAACAAATAATCAAATCCTTGCCGATGAATCCGGAGGCCCTGTCTCAGTCCCATCTTCCTGCACCTCGCTGCTGCCTTAGACACAGCTGCTCCCTTCCCGTGGCGGTCAGCATGCCCGTCTCTCACCATTCTGCACACCACGACTATGGTATCCCCTTTTCCAAACACTCTCATTGTCTACATTCCCTGGCTGGAGACCTCCTCCAGTCCCCATAGCTTGCAGTAACTCTCCACGTGCTGATGATTTCCCAAGTCACTCCTGACTCACATATCTGGCTACCTACTGCACATCTTCACCAGACATCTTGGAATTCAGATGTCCAAAATGGAATTCCTGATGCTCTACCTGCCACCCACTGCATTTACAGCTTCTCCGAATGCTGCCGATGGCCACAACATCTCCCCAGTGTCCCAGACCCCAAACCCTACAGTTGCCCTTGATGCCATATGGACAGGACCAGCCCATGAGCCAATCCATTGGCCCAGCCATCGGAGCATCTCTAGAGTCCTGCCTCTTCTCAACACTTCCGACACCTCCCCTGTTGTCCAAACCAACATCATCTCGTGCCTGGATCACAGCACCCGCCTCCTGCCTACTCTCCTGGCTTCCATCCTTGCCCCCTTACCTTCCCGATGCTTGGGCCAGAGAGAGCCCTTTCTAACATACATCACTTCCAGCCATTCTGCTCAACAAACCCCAGCTCACTCATCAGCATCAAAGCCGGCAAGGTCCCCCATGATCGCCACCACTTCCCTGACTCTTCCGATGGCATTCTCTACTCTGGGGCCCCCTGGAACTCACTCTTGGTCCAGCATAATATTGCACACACCTATCTTCCCCAGATGTGTGCATGGAGTCCCCCCTCTCCTCCTCCAGGTCTTTTACAGAAGTGACATCAGCTCACTGAGGCCCTCCTGGACCAACCAGTCCCATCCTGGAGGCTGCCTACCTTCACGCCTAGTCCCCCCTCCCCTGCTGTCTTCCCATGGAGCTCTCACATTATATCATACACTATAATTGATTCAGTTTTTACTGTCAGGATTCCTAACTTCAGCACTACTGATAGTTTGTGTGGATCACTCGTTGTTGGGGGTGGGGGTGGGGCACCATCCCGTGTATTGTAGGATGTTAAACAGCATCTCTGGGCTCTACATACCAGGTGGCAGGAGCATACATACTCCCCCAATTGCTCAGTGTTGTGTCCCCAGTGCTTAGAACTTAGACCCAATATATATTGAGTCCATGAATAAAAGTGAAAAAAGAGGGAATGATCCTCTCTACCTTGCAGAGAATGGAGTTGACAGAACATGTTAGCTGTCACCCCAAGTACCTGGCTGAAGCACTGAAGACATCCTGTTCCTCTGTCTTCTCCCCGTTGGTAGCCATGTCCATCACACTCTCCACTTCCAAGGGCGAGGGTGAGAGAGCCTCTGAGGACAACCCGGTCGTGGTCAGAGGGCTCAGATCTGACATCTCCTTGGGCTCTTGAGGCTCTTGAGATACACTGCTGAGCTGTGGGGACACCCCAGCCTCCATCTCGGAGATGGGGGTCAGAGAGATGGGCGGCTGGGGTACATCTTCCCACTCCGATGCGGGCAGAGGGATGGGAGACTGGGAGACATCATCCATATTCCGGCTGCTGGAGACACTGTCCATCTCCTGCTCCATGAGATAGGGCACTTTGGAAGGCCCTGTTGTGTCCTGGGAAAGCTCCTTCACCCAGTGATGCTTGCTCCTCTCTGCCCACTGATGCATTCTCCCCTTCACCCAGGTGCCCACCGGGGACTGGTCCCTAACCCCCACCGGTGTCCCCTCTGTCGAGGGCACCCAGAAGCCCACTGGGGACTGCTCCCTAAACCCCACTGGTGTCCCCTCCATCAAGGGCACCCAGGAGCCCACCGGGGACTGTTCCCTAACTGCCCCCGGTTTCCCCTCTGGGGAGGACACATGATGGGGGCTGAAGGGCACTGTGCCCTCTGTTGACCTAGCAGATGCCTGGGGAGCTGAGAGCCAGGAGGGCAGACCGACTGCAGCTGGTCTCTGGGGTGGCTCCTTGCAGTTGGCCATGATCATCATCTTGGCAAGGGTGAGCCCCTCCACCGAGAAGGGCCTGCTCTGTTCCTCTGGGCCTCCCTCAATGGCCAGTTCCTGGGTTTTGAGCCACCTCTGCTGCTTTCCTCTCTCCTTGGATTTGAAGCCAGGCATGTCCAGGGATATCTTCTCCTTCTTTTTGTGGACCTTGTCTTCCAACGTGCTCCTGCCCTTCAGGCCATCCAGGGTGATCTCCCGGGCTTTGCTGATCACGACTTCCTCTGACTGCTTCTTCATGGTGGTGAAAGGCAGCTCCATGGATGTTCTCTGGGTCCTCATCTCTAGCACGTCCATCTCCTGGGTGCCCACGAACAACATGGGCTGTGGCGTCCCTTCATGCTTCCTTCTCTCAAGCCCATCCCTTTTAGGACTTAATTCAGGCACCATGCCAAAATCAGCCCCGTCCAGTGTCATCTTGTATTGACTAGGTGAGGTCACAGCCTTCTGGGATGGGGTAGGGATGAAGAAAGATTTCCTGCTTTGGAGAGTGGGGGACGCAGCCTTTGGTGGAAGAGCCTGGATAGGTGGGGACTTTGGAGATGGGTAAGGTACGGCTGGAGGCTTCTGAGGACTAGCCAACACAGGTGGGGCCTTCTGAGATGGGACAGGTATGGCTCGGGCCTTTGGGGAACTAGCCGAAGCAGGTGGGGCCTTCCGGGATGGGCCACGTGCTACTGGGGCCTTCGGGAAAGTAGCCGAAGCAGGTGGGGCCTTCCGGGATGGGCCA